TCTGATACGAATCCCTGCCGAATCCCTGCCGTTCTCCCCGCCAGACAAAGCACTGTCATTCCGGCACCCCCAGCCTAAGTGCCGCTCTCTCATGCTGTCTGCAGTGCTTTAGACACCTGTGGCCACGCAGGAAGGATGGGAAGTCCTCTGATGCTTGCAGGTGAAGGCCCCTGTCCTGTGTGCCCACAAGTTGAAAACCCTCCCCAGCACACCGGCTCCTGCTGTCTGTTAGTGGTCCGCACACGCCTGGACTGCAAATCTCCTGAAGACAGGGGCTGCGGCCTTTGGTCTCTTGTTTGCTTAGCCCATTGCAGAGTGTGCTACGGTTGTGGGCACTCCATTTGTTGCAGTCACTGAACGCGTTGAACACAAATTCAGGTCTATTTTCTCATTATTGAATGCTGTGGCCTGCATGCGGTGACCCAAAGCACTCAAAGGCTGGAAGTCGAGGGTGGCTCACAAAACGAATACACATATAAAGTTATCATCACAGGGCCCTAAAGAATGTACTTCCCACTGCTGCCTGGGGCTGCTCTGGGCTTCTTGGTGTAAGAGCGCACTGTGACTGGAACGCGACGCAGTGAGAACAGCAGCACCAGTCAGCCCTCTGACAAGGAGCTCCTGGTGACCGAGGCAGACAGGCAGCCTGCCCGGGGAGCGCTGCCAGGTCAGTCTCGCTGGCAGGAAATAGAGCGTCTCTCAGAATCAGGACAGAGATATGGGGCTGTGCGTAATCTTGCTCCACGCCCACTCAGTTTTAAACCTCAAAAGTTCACTAAGAACTTCAGAGGGATCAGGGCCATTTTGCCGAAACCCACGGCTCCTTCTTGGTTCTTTCATGCTACGTGTTTTGGGGCAGAAAGGGTGAGCTGAACTTAAACTGTGTTTCCAGCAGTGGACACCATAGGAAGCCCACACACTGCAACTAGAGGGAAATACACAGAAAGGCCTTCCCACAATCTGGGTAGAGAATGAAAGGGTGCTCAGAGGAAAAATCACCTGCTGGGCAGACTCCTACCCACGCCAGTCCTGGGGTGCCCTTAGCCGGAGTCAGCAGCCCGTGTGCTCAGAGGCAGGTGTGCTTCCCTGCGGACTAAGGCCAGGACGCTGTGAGGAGACAGCAGACAGGCCACGGGCCACCTGGCCAGGGGGCAGATGCCCCGGGGAGTGAACCACCTGGACAGCTGCGCACCATCAGGATGGGCTGCAGACTCACATCAGCCAAAAAACCAAAAAACAACCCAAAAAATGGCCTAGACAACATTCCTAGAGACCACTGGATGCAGCGTGTGGGAAAAACACTTTTTTTTTTTTTTTCCATGAACTTCAAAAATAGGAAAATACAATGGGGGAAATTTTAATACTGACATGGCAGATGGAGTCCATACTACCCCTTCTTAAAACAACACTCATTGCAGAGGAGGCCCTGGTTTGGAACTCCCCTTTTCATGTCCTCATAAAACACTGATTTATTGACTTCCAAAGGCACATTTTTATTGTTTCAGTTTTCCTGGTGTAAGAAGTTCTGGTAGATAACTGAAAAAGCAAGCTATTTCCTTATCAACACACAGACTATGTTCTTATTACAGGTTTGCCATTTTAGGGGGAAGTGGTAGAGAGGAAATAACAGGCGAGGCATTTGAAATATTTATCAGCAAAATGAACTGCAAGCCCACAGATCTGTGTCTGTGCTCTCCAAACAAGGCATTACTGCTCATATCCACGTCTCCCCTCTCAGATGGGATGGGGGGCAGGAAGAACGGTGGCACAGAGCACCCACCCACCCTACGACCCAGAGCCGCACCCTGGGGGATTTCTTCGGAGGGGTCTCCCCATGGGCGCTCTAGGGCCCTGTGGCCTGTATCTGATTAGTCGACTTTACCACCTCAGTAAGGGCCATCCAAGAGTTATCTCAAAACTATAAAAGTTCAGTGCCCAATTTGTTTGGTGGGGGTTTCCTGAAGTAGGTGATTTGTGCTATCTGTAAGGTCGTAAAAATATATGGTTTTTTTTTTTCCTCCTGTAAAGATTCTTTTAGGTCTAAACCACTCACACCATCCTCCCAACATAGGGAGCTTTCTTCCCACCTCCTAGAATCATTTCTTCGCTGACCTCTGGTTTCCCACACATCTTTCCAAGACCACTTGGGAAACCTCTTCATCCCGAAGTCCTTAGGGATTCCTCCAGCGGTCCTCCCTCCCTCCCTCCCTCTCTCCTTCCCTCTGCCACCCTCTGTACTTTTCTTATATGCTACCCTCTTATCATCACAGCTTTTCCCATCTGGCGCTTTCCACTAGACTGTGACCCATGCGCCTTCCCCTTGTTCCTCATTAGCACAGTGTTTGACACCACCAATGTCTGTTGCCCTGCATATGCACACACCTGCTCTTGCATCTTATAACCCCAGATAAACATGACCGTGTACAATCCATTACCTTAATGAAAACAATGTGCATCTATATTTTGTTGCTTGGAATAAACAGCAGGAGTAGCTACACAAAAATTCAAAAAGTTTTTATCTGTAGGCAAATAGTTTTAATCTATCTGAAAACAAATTCCCTCACAAATACAAGCAAGCAGAGATATAATCATATAAATGTTTTAAAGAGCAAAACTTGTAGCCTTTCAGGTAAGTCTGAACCTATTTAATATAATATAAATGAAACCAAATACAATCCCTACAGATAAGGCATTTTCTGGAAGCCATTTCTGCCAACTATTTTGCAAAACCAATTTCCCCACTAAGCAGTTCCTGCAGCTTTGCCTGGTGTTTGATCATTAACATCCTCAATGAACTGTCAATGTCATTCTTAAATTTTGAGCTAATAGAGTAGGCTGGTCAACGAAGCAGTCATTGAATACAGAGAATGCTTTTTCCTAGATAACCACAGTATCTCTAGGAAATATTATTTTAAGGCTGAATCTAGTCTCATCTTTGAAAGAAAATGCATTTCTACTGGGAGGGTTGAGCACCCAGTAAAATAAGCAGAAAAGCATTCCAATGTCACTTGATTGTGAAGGAGTTCAGGAAATGCCACCCCAAAATATGCCACTATGGTGTGCTGATTATTTTGAACTGAGGGCAGATGGTAGTGGCCACAGGCAGAGGTTTCTCTGAACTCTGGTCAAACAAAGATCCTCCAAAACGAACTCAAATGTCTCGAAACTCCGCCGTGGGAATCTTCTCACCCAAAGAAGATTCTCACCCAGAGAAAATTAACTCAGATTACAGGAGAGGAGAGCGGAGGCTGAAACCAGCCCACACAGACTCTCACCTATTCTCCCAAGGGACTGGTCAGAGACCATTTTTATTGCCTGAGAATCTTCTATGTGCCTGACAAGATGTCCTTTACTCACCGTATACTTCCTCCCCAAACCCTCCCAAAACCTGTTTTGCAGCACCCTGCAGAAGCCCCTATGGATGCTATAATGAGCTTCAATCATCTGACCATTCCTCAAATCTCTTATTTTGTAGGAGTCCTGAGCCTATGTATGTAATTAAGCACAGTTTTTCTCCTGTTAATCTGTCTTATGTCAATTCAATTCGTAGCCCAGCCAAGGAATTCATAAGGTTCCTAGAAGGTTCGCTCCCCTAGAATTGGAACTGACCAATGCAAAAGTTTAGATACATTTCTAAACATGCATAATGAAAGGGGTTTTAAAGGGAAAAAGAGAGGAAACACAGCACTTGTTGAAAGGTCTCCCTGAAAAATAAACTTATTTTGATAGCATTTGTTGTTCATATTAGAACGGAACGCCTTTTATGCACATATGAATGTATGTCATTTTGCAACAGCAGTGAGAGATAACTTTGCAACTGCGTGGTCAGGCAGGTTTTTCTTACGTGGCTAGCTGTTCGCTGAAACCCTGGTCCTTTGGTTCAAATAAGGTAGCACCCCGTTTAACCTGTTGAACACTTAATTAAACAACACCTGAAGTGCTTAAAATGAAAAAATCCTTTAGATTTTTCCGCCTCCGTTTCCCTCAGCCACACTGAGAGACCCATACAATCGAGACTGAATCTTCCTTAGAATCTTTTGCTTCAGCCTTCACTGCGCCCCATTATTTCTGTCAAGGCTTTCCCCCTCTATTCTCACCCAAACACGGTTCTCCACGCGCCCCTCCCCACTCCTCTCCGGGTTCCGCGCACGGCTGCGGAGGGACGGCAGCAACCTAAGCTAGTGTTAACAGAGGGGAAATTTGACCCTGCCGAAACCAAGAAAACCACCACTCGCCCTTCCCTGCGAGAGCTTTCAAGTTCGTATCAACGATTTTTAAAGTGTTTGTTGTGCTGGGTGTGCTTCCCTCTGCGGCCCTCCTCTGGGAGGCAGAAAGTCCGTGCCTGGCTGCATTCGCTTACTAACTGTACTGAGAAATCTGTTCCCAGAACACCAGGAAGCTACTCGGGTCTGCGAGGGGCAAGTCCAGCATCTCCCGAGCGCGCGCGCGCAGCCTCTCCCCACCGTGCGGAGACTCCAGGCGAGCGGACAGGGGTGTCCCCAAAGGGGATCAGGGGAGGCCAAGGCAAACCCGCAGTTCAGGGACGGAGGGAATCAGGTCTTTTTCCAGGTGGAAATATGGGACGGCGGCCACCTGGGAGGAATCGTGTCGGGAACGGTTATCTCCCGCGGGTGCGGTCCCCACGCCGCTGTCTTCCGCAGCACCGCCCGGCGCAGGCGCTTAGTAGGTGCTCAAGAAGTGTTTGGAGAAAACGACAGCATCAAAGGCTGCGACTAAAATGGGCTTTTGGAAGAGCCCGTTTCGGGTGTTGGGGTCCCGCCAATCTGCTCCTTCTGTGCCCCAGTTTCCCTCCACTTGCCCTTTCCCGCCCTCCGCCGTCCAACTCTGGAAGCGCCTCCCCAGCATCCCGTGGCCTCCGCTCCCCAAAACTCCGGCTCCTCTCGGAATGCGGAGGAGCCAGGATGCCGCCGGTCCCGGCCCTTCCTGGGTCCCGAGGAGGCGTCGGGCCGCGGGGCCAGGCAGGCGCCGGCGCTCCTTACCTGCAGCCGGGCGAGCAGCGCGCAGAGCAGCAGCAGCGCGGATAGCCGGCGGCGCCGCCGGGCGCGCAGGGCCATGGCGCGGGGCAGGCTGGCGGACGCCGCGGCCTCAGCGGCCTCTCTGGCCCAGCGGGCGCGGCTGCTGTAGGCCTGGGTGGTCCCGCCCCCGTGCCCCGCCCCGCACCTGTCCCCGCGCCGCCCTCCTGCGCCCCCCTCCGGCCGGGCCGGGCCGTGCCAGCCAGGTGGTGCCGGAGCTGCCTTGGCGCGCGGTGGGACGCGGGGCCCAGGTGGGAGAGGGTCCCCGGATGTGTTCGCCGCACCCGGTGCCTCCTTGGTCCGGTCCCCGCCCCGGGCCCGGGTGCTCTGGCTGTCCACAGGTTGGCGGGAGACCGGCTCTGCGTTGCCCTTCACGGCACTGGCTCCTGCCTTGCCGCACCCCAGGCCTGTGGGCCCCGCCTCCCGGGAAGGAATGGGGGCATCGGGGTGGCCCTGCCCCGACCCCGTGCGCCCACACTTCCAGGCCCGGCCTTCCAAAAGTGGATGCGCCACCATCGAGAATGAACGGGAGGAGGATCCTTCCTGAAGATTTCATCGACTGCAGTTAAGGCATCAGCACAATACACCATCCGCCAAGCTTCGTAAAATACTCCTGTTCTTTGCTTCAAAATTTTGGGGCCAGCATCCACTATCTCTTATTCTCCTCCAGATCCTCTGCCTCCGCCCCTCACCCGCCCTGCACCCACCAAATTCCAGAATGGCACCAGGCTCCACCAGCCTTGAGGCGTCCCCCAGCCCCCATCACCACAGAGGCCCTTTCGGATACAGACTGGCCCAGATGTCTGGCGCACAGTGTTACCTAAAGACTGAGGTCCGTTCTTCTGGTGCAGTAAGGCCACGCCATCCGCACCAAGGTTTGCAGTGAGAGAAAAGAGGGCGCTTATCGGCAGAGCGCCAAGCAAGGAGAACGGGGCAGCTCATGCTTAAATCCTGACCTTCGGTTGTCTTGCAAGTAAGGATTTTTAAACGCAGGATTAATTTCAAGAAAGCGGAAGTTATAGGGAAAATCATAATACATGGAGGTTGCACATTGGTTTGGTCTAACAAGCTGGGATATCTTGAAAATCTTTAAAGTGAGGGTGCTTATAGGTTTATACGTTCAAAGATTTTCTGACTTGCCATCAGTGAAGGAAGAGAAGCTTTGTTAAATATTTGGGGTCAGCAAAAAAGAATGTTAGCTCTGGCTCCTGGGTGTGACTTCCTCCTGGCCCTTCAGGAAAAAATTTAGAAGAAAGAATGGTGGTCGGTTCAGTCCTCATTTCCCCCTTGTCTGAGGTCTGCATGCGGGTGGATCTGTTTTGGTGGGGGTCTGGGTTTCTCAGAAACAACTCAGGGACATATGTTAACATGTTATCTTTAGTTTCTATAGGGAATCTAACTTCCTTGGTTATTGTTTTAAGCTACAATTGCCTTCTTGCTTATCAAGTTGCTTATTTACTTCTTAGAGCTAGCTAGGTACCTGGAATTTCCCTTGAAGGAACTCAAGATTGTCCTTTATTTCCATGCTTAGGGGTGCTCCACAGGCTCCTAAGATGGGTTCCTGCTCCATCTCCATAGCATCCTATTGCTTTTGTCATTACTTGCTTAGGATTGTGTTTTTCCTCACATTCTAGGTTGATGTTGGATCCATACGTATAATTCCTCCTTTGTATCGTGTATTAGTCTGTTTTCATGCTGCTGATAAAGACATACCCAAGACTGGGCAATTTACAAAAGAAAGAGGTTTAATGGACTTACAGTTCCACGTGGCTGGGGAGGCCTCACAATCATGGTGAAAGGCAAGGAGGAGCAAGTCACATCTTACATGGATAGCAGCAGGCAAAGAGAGAGCTTGTGCAAGGAAACTCCGGTTTTTAAAACCATCAGATCTCATGATACTTAACTCACTTCGCAAGAACAGCACGGGAAAAACCTGCAACCATGATTCAATTACCTCCCACCAGGTCCCTCCCACAACACATGGGAATTCAAGATGAGATTTGGGGTGGGGACAGTGCCAAACCATATCATAAGGTAACTGTTTATATGAAGATACTTGTCCCATGCCAATAGAATATAACCTGTTTTGAATTCCTGGATTGCCAGAACTATTCACTTGCCTTACTTTTAGCCCAGCACATGGTATATCTTGGTCAAAATTCCATGTGCACTTGAAAAAGCTATGTATTTTGCTGTTGTCAGTAAAGAATTTTATGAGTGTCAATTAGGTCAAATAGGTTGAAATACCTATACTGATTTTCTGTTACTTGTTCTGAGAAAAAGTGTGGAAATTTCCAACAATAACTGGATTTGTCTATTTTTCCTTTTATTTCTGTCAGTTTTTTCATATTCTTGAAGCTCTACTTAGAGGTATAAACATTTAGAATTATTATGTCTTCCTGATGAATTGAGACTTTTATCATTGTTATGTGTCTTCCTTGATTGGTGGTAAAATCAAATTCTCATGTCCATTTTTATATTAATTATATAGCCATTTCACCTTTCTTATGAATAGCATTTATATGATATATCTCTTTCTATCTTTTTACTTTTAATTTATCTATATCATTTAAAGTGACAGCATACAATTGGCTTTTTTCACCTTTTACCCATTTTGACAATCTCTGCCTTTTGATTGGAGTGTTTAGATTGTTCACATTTAATGCGATTATAGATATGGTGATGTTTAAGTCTACCATTGTGCTATTTTTCTATTTTTTTCATCCATTTTTCTATTTGTTCCTTTTTTCCCCTCTTTTCCTACTTTCTTTCAGTTTGAGCATTTTTAGGATTCTGTTTTCTCTTCATGTTAGTTTATTTTATATGCATCCTTGTTTTATTATTTTGGTGGCAGCTCTAGGTTTACAATGCACATCCATAATTTATCACAGTCTACCTTCAGATAAAATTCTGCCACTTTCTCCCTCCCTCCCTTTGTGCTATTGTAGTCATACTACTTGGCTGACTTTTAAATTCCCTACTGTACAGCCTAATTGGTGCACTGCTCTGTTGCTTTTGTGCTTTTCAGAAAGTGATCTGGCAGTGTTGATTTTAAAAATTAAAAATTGCAAATATCATTTGATGAAGCAATTCTGTATCTGGGAATCAAACATATCAATACATAAAGAAAGAGACAAAAGAATGTTTAGTATAGCATTTTTGAAAAACCACAAAAAGAAAAAGAAAAAAATGTGAATATCTGTTAATATACAAATGGTGGAAAGTATTATTGCCCATCACAGTTTTGAATATAATGCGGCTACTTAAGAACATTATGTAGTTTTGGAAAGATGTTCATGATTATTAAGTAAAAGAAGTAAGTTACAGAGCAATATCATCCCATGTATGTAAAGAACCGTAAACATGATTTTATCTATATAAGCAAAGAAAGTTTCTAGAAAGGATAATAGGAAACACTAAGAGCATATTCACACTTAAAAATCTACTTAATCCTCACAACAGGCATGTGAAGTATACTATTATTACTCCCATTTTACAAATGAGGATACTGAAGCACAGTGAAAATAAAAACTTACCTGGAGTCACTTGCCAATAAGTGGCAGAGCTGTGATTCCAGTCCTGGTTCTCTGACTCGGGAGTGGGAGTCTTGCCTCACTAAGCACCACATTTTTAACATCAGGTGAGTGGCAGAAGGAAAAGGAGAAACTCACACTTTTATTTTGGATGTTTCTAAACTATTTACATTGAGGAAAATGCACTTTTGCATTTTTAACTGGCAGTTGTGTAAACTTGGTAAATAGATGTTAAAACTCTAAATGAGGTAAGTACAGGAAAGGTCACAAGCACAGACAAAATAATACTGAATAATCTAGCATGTTGCCATCTTCAATGAGGAGACAGGTTTTCTGGAAAAAGCATGGTTAGGAAAGCTAGATGAGATTATGATTTTGCTAAAAGGAACTGACTTGTGGGAGAAGGTACTTTCACTGTGGCACTTCATGAAAAATACCAAGCCTTACTCCTGGCACGCTTCCAACATGACCCCCTTCTATTTTCTAAGAAGAGTAGGGGACTGAAAACTTCTGCTTGGAAAGCCCCAGAGGTGAGTGTGCTGATTTTGGAAGCGCTTTTGGACAGCAGAATGCCTATGCTAACACATTAAATCTACTAAGAATTTAAAACTTTTTAAAATTAAATTACTCTTAAAGATATCTCTACAGAACGATCACTCAAATAATTCCAATATTTTATAAATATTAATGTCTAATACAATCTGATAATAAAATCCAATAAAATAGGCTTGAGGATGTTATCTTTCCTATACATAGAGCATTATTATGAGAAACATGGAAGTAACTCATCTCAAATACTGTTTTTCTATATTCACTGAAGAATGAACACATTATAGCTAAGGTGATTGTTCTCATTTGCAAAAACTAGTTTCAATGTTGTTTGTGATTTTAAAAAACAACATTTGGCCAGGTATGGTGGCCCACGCCTGTGACCCCAGCACTTGGGAGGCCAAGGTGGGTGGATCACTTGAGGTCAGGAGTTGGAGACCAGCCTGGCCAATATGGTGCAACCCCGTCTCTACTAAAAATACAAAGATTAGCCAGACGTGGTAGTGCATGCCTGTAATCCCAGCTACTCGGAAGACTGAGGCACAAAAATTGCTTGCACCCAGGAGGCGGAGGTTGCAGTGAGCCGAGATTGCGCCACTGCACTCCAGCCTGGGCAACAGAACGAGACTGTGTCTCAACACACACACACACACACACACAGTTATAAGCACATATACAATTAAACTTTGGTTATGTGTAACAAATGTAAAAATATGTTTTAAACAATAGATGCTTTAATATTTATTAAAGCTAAATGTTTTCCATTTCCATTCAGCTGACAATGAACTTTCTTATTTGTCTCTGGGGGAAAAAAGAGCACATTATACCTACTCAGGAATCATAGATTGATATGAAAACTCTTCTACATGGATAGCGCGCACCTCATGCTGGAAATCCCCACTTCTCAATTCTGCACGAACTCTTTGGTTTTCAGAATTAAAAAAGTAAAATAAAAATGTAGCCATAATTTGTGTGTCTAGTGGATGGCTTGCAAGGATTATCTTACATTTTAACAGGTCTTCATTTAAGCACCAGAAAACATAGGCACAATCTTGTTAATGAAATGCTTATCAATCTCAGCCAGAATAAGAATTAATCAGTTTACGTACCTTTTTTCATGTGATGCTATATAAATAGTTGCTGTTACTGTATGTAGAGC